CCTCATTTACAACCTAAAAGATTTCTTGAAAACTCTATCAATCACTTTTATGAGTAAGCAGAAGTAAAATTTTGGAATATGGAAAATCTAATAAAGAGTTATTTGTGAGCTATCTTTCTGCTTCAACATCTTTATATTTTTTTCTTCTTTCTTTACCCTTGTGCCACTTTGTGTTACACTGTCTTTGCTCCTATAGTACTTGGAGTAGAAAGAGGAGAAGGAGAAGGCAGAGAAGTGGGAAGAAACAATGTTCCCTTTAGGGAATTAATTGAGTATGAACCAAAAATGGCACCTTCAATTCAACAAATACTTATTAAGCTTCTACTATATATAAGGTACTGTTATAGGTGTCAGGGGTGACATATACTTTTCATGGAAAAACTGATTTCCTTTGACTCAGATTAAAATGGTCACATTTCTATATTTTAGCTCATTCATACAACAGCTCATGAATTTTGGTTATAATTTTATGCTAATTTATATTTACTTTTCATGACACTCCCTGTGAGTGACTTTGGACAAAGCACATAGCCTTACTGGGCCTCAGTTTCTTCATCTGTAGAGTTATGTGGTTGAATTAGATGGCCTCTGAATTTTCTTTCATCTCTACATGTGTGATGATAAAAAGCCTAATTTTTGTTTCATTATTGAAATGTATACATGATTTAGAAAACATATTTTAAAGTAATTACATAACATTAATTTAATTTGACTATATAATTTATAATTTAACATTAATTTAATTTATACAGATGAACTGCAGGATGACACAGAAATTCATGAAAATATTACCTGTATCATTTATTTACAATTTCTTTCTTTATCTTTGGGTATATAATTACTTCTAAGAGTAACCATTTTGTTTAATTCTTTGATATGTGCAAGATTTGAAAATGAGAAAAAAACTTTTGGGGGGGGATGAGAGAGTGAATTTTCATAATTACTATATCAAAACTTGAATAATAATAATTGGGATGAGAACTTACCTTGTGATTTCCTTTTAATAGGAAATATCCAGGTGAAGAAATTCCCTCTATCAATGCAAGTTGGCACCTTTTCTGCAGATTATATCCTCCTAGAATTACCCAGAACATTGAGAGGTCAAGTGGTTGTTCAGTGAACTCCATTGGCTTCCTATTATTTCCAGGATTTAAAGTTCTTTATAACCTGTGTCCATCTTACCTTTCACTATTCTTATACTTCTTCCTCTTCACATAATCGAGGATCTAGATACATTGGTGTACTTGCAGTTCCTTGAGGACTACATCCCATTTCTCATCTATGTACTTTTCAGGGTGACTGTTCCCCATGCCCCCCTGACCTCTGTCTCTGTTTTTCTGGCTTCCTTTAAGGCTCAGCTCAAGTGCTACTTTTGTAGGAGGTCTTACTTGGTCCCCTCAGCTGCTAGCTCCTTCCCCTCTGATATAACCTTCCATCAACTTTGTATAACTATTATATGCTCCTAGTTATCTACAGGTTTTCTCATTCTTTAGAAATATGTTCCACATAGGCATGATTTGTTTTTGGCTTTCTTTGTAGCCCCAGAAATTTAGCACATTACTTGCAGCATAGTAAGCAGCTAGTAAATGTTTGTTGATTGTCTCACTGAATTCTTCATGGTTGCATAACCTATATGTGTCAGAGTTGGAATTTGAATTCAGGTCTTCCTGGCTCTGAGGACAGTTCTTTATCCACTATGCCATTTTATCTAGGTTCATTCTCTGACATATACTACCCATAAATCTGGGTAAGTCACATTGGAGAGTATCTATACACACACACTCACACACACACACATACACACACACACACACACACACAATATGTACGCATATGTGTAATAATATGTAATAATATGTAATAATATGTAGTATGTAATAATAATATAATTATATTATAATTATATTATAAACAATAATAATGTATACCTATATTATTGCATTTAATCTTCACAACCACATGAAGTTTTAAAAATTATTATTCTCATTTTATTATTTATCCTCATAATTATCATATTTAATTATTATCCTCATTATATAAATGAAGAAATATGCTGACAGAGATGAAGTGATTTGTCTAGGATTACATACTCAACAGGAGTTTAAGGCAGAATTTGAATTCAGGTCTTCCTGGTTCCAAGCAATGTGCTCTGTCTATTCCACTTCATACTGTCTTTCCTATGTGATTCTTGTGTGTTTTCAAACAATCTCCCCAGAGGATCTCTAGGCAAAGTACTGGAAGTTTTCCTCTGGTTTTTTGTTTGGTTTCAATGCTTTATAAATGCAGTTAACATAATCATACATACTTGGCAGCACAACTGGCAGATGAGTGTGGCATTAGTATCATAATGTCATTTTTAGGTTACCACAACATATCTGACAGATATTTGAAAAGTTACAATGCTCAATTCCTTTATTAGCTGAAAACTAATTTAAAATGTCAGGAGAAATGTAAATATATTCACCCTAAGGCAGCAATTCATTCCATAAATATGAAATATATTAATTTAGATGATTTATAAACTAGTAAATAATAATGTGCTTTGGAACTTCAGACAGTCTAATACAAAAATGTAGATTATTAAAAAGCATTTGAAGTTACTTTTCAAAAGCTGACTTGTAGTTTTCTTGTTATGCTTTTTATAATCAATTACAGGATAAAAATTACTTACTAGCATAGGCATTTATTAGCTAACCAGAGACTTTAAAATCAAGTGCATCAGACTGCTAAATCAGGGTTTGAAAAAGTCAAGTGAATGATAGCAGAAATCCCACGTATAATACAATGTCTTTGGAGATTGCTTATATTTTATAAATTTTAAGAAAATATGCCTTTAGCTTAATAACTAAGAATAAGACTGGGATGCCCACACTATGGTTCTTTACTATAATTAACAACTTTGTTAAAACAGATATTTCATAAATCTTAATAATTTCAATAATAGTCCTTTCCATGTTGGATGCCTTAAAACTTTAGGCTTTCTACAATTCCTTATTTCTCTTTTTTTCTTCTTCAGTTACATTTAAGAAACTAGTCCATAAGATGATATGATCATAATTTAAAGCTAGGGTGAGTCTTTTTGGTCATTTAGTTCAAACCCCTCATGTTAGAGATTAGGAAGATGAAGGTGAGAGATACGAATTGATTTTGATAAAGTCACTCAGACAGTGTCAGGGCCAGGACTTGAACCTGGGTTCAAACTGAAATTTCAAAGCTCTTGTACATGTTTAGAGTGACTTTTCTTAAAACCTGATTCCATAGTAAATTGTTTTGAAAGCTTATATGAAAAGTTCTGGGAAAAAAATTGATAATGGAGAGACAGGTAGAATAAAAATGATTACCAACCTTCTGGAGTTTGCTTTGTTAACCTTTGTTTACACACCTTCTTATTCTCATCCCCAAAGTGTTTTGTGATATGAATGTTTATGCACATATGCATGTAATTATTAAAACAAATAGGATTTTTAAAAGAACTTTGTTAGAAATTTGTATACGTGTGTGTGCATATATGTGTGTGTATATATGTGTATGTGTGTAGATAGATAGATAGATAGATAGATAGATAGATAGATAGATAGATAAATTCTTTCTCTTCAGTATTCTTTCCCTAAATAGTCCAAAGTGTGAACTTTTCATGCCCCAGAATGATTATCTGGCATAATTCCTGTCCATGATGTTTTTAATAAAACCCTCAAAGTGAATTTTGACCAAAATCAATTCTTTGAATATGGTATGGACAACTACTATTATAATAATAGTTGGCTTTTACTGGGCAGTTTTCAGGGTTATAAATTGATCATTATAACAGCTCTGTGATGTAGGTGCTATTTATAATCTCCATCTTATAAATGAAGAAACTAAATCGCAGAGGAGTTAAGTGACTGACCGATGGTCTACAGTTAGTAAGTGTTGGAGGTAGGATTCGAGCCCAGAACATTTCTGTCAGTCCATTGTTCTTTTCACTGTCTATGCTGCTTCTCAGGTGTATAACAACACTCAAGGTGTCCATCATATCCTTAAATTTCCTATGTAGCATTTAAAACCCCTTGCCATCTGATTGTCTTCTGTCTTTCCAGACTGTTTTCACTTTACTCCCTCTCATGCTATCTGTGTGATCCAGATAAACTGGCCTATTTGCTGTCTCCAGCACATGATGCTTTATTTCTCCTCTCCATGCTTTTGACCATTGACATACATGTCTAGAATGCTCTCCATTTCCAGCTCTCCATCTCTTGGGATCTCTACCTTCATTCAAGAATCAACTCAAGTTTCGCCTCCTAGAGAAGGCCTATTTTTTGAGTTACTTGGATGTTAGTAACCTCCATCCACTACCCTCTCATCCCGCCCCCCAGATTGCCTTGTATCTGATTTGTTTGTATTTTATATTTCTGTACCTGAATACAAGTTGTTTCTCTCTGGTATAATGTAGACTCCAGGAGACTGTTTTTATTTGTTTTTGTCTTTGTAACCCCAGAACTTCACTCAGTACCCGGGATGCTGTTTCCTTTATACTAGACACATAAATAGTTGTGGGATTCATCTGACTCAGGATGGCCCTCCTCCATTCCATTTACATATCAGTTATTCTGCACAAATCATTCTCTGCTGCAGCATATTGGTTTGTAGAATTTCGTATCATGCCTTAGCAGGCTGGAGACCCAGGAACTGGGCCCACAGAGGTCTTACAGAACTGGGATTTGAAGGGCCTCTGTCTCACTCACTTGCTATAATATATAGCCTGTCTGTAGAAAACCAAATCAAAGGAAACAATTCAGGCTTAGAGAAATCCTTTCCCTCTGTTTGCCAGCTTGTTAATTTTGCAAGATGCTTTAGAAGCTCCTTAGCCCATCATGCTGTAATTATTATTATTATTACTGTTTTTTGCACAGTAGACTTTGATTGTCAGATGTATTGAAAACATTAAGATTTTTTTAATATTATGTATAAAGTCCTTTTTGGATACTAATTGTCCTGTTAATATCATATTTCTTTCTTTGCAGTTTTACTTAAGAGTGCAAAAAGAGAGGAGGACAAACCATTTAGAGACTGTGCAGATGTGTATCAAGCTGGTTTTAATAAAAGTGGAATCTACACTATTTATATTAATAACGTGCCAGAGCCCAAAAAGGTAAAAGCTGAAGTGTTTGTTTACAAGTTGTGAACTAGAACTCTGAACTGAGGAAGGGAGGTTGTGATTAATCTGTGAACACGCTAAGCTGAAAGTGTATCAGTGAGCTGGGTTGTCCCCAGAGAGCCTGTGTTCCTTCCTGAGTCACTGAGGGGCAAGCAAAGCCCTTCCCTCAGGGCAGCTTCAGTATTTCCTGCTTGCTCTGTGATCACTCCTAGGGTGGGCAGGGAGTGGAGAAATAGCCCCAGCATTCCTGGTCAAGGTTATAAACAGCCACACACAGGAGTGACTTGAGGGGTTGAGAGAGGGCAATGTGGAGAGAAGCTCCACATTTCTAGGGGAACAAATGCCCCCCCAAGCCCCTACCACCATTCTGCATCATGTTCTGTTAGAGCCAGAGCATCAGTTTGGCAGAACAACTGCTCCTGGGTGGGTGGGGGAGTGGGTGGAAAGAGAAGCATTCTTCTCTCTAAATAATATGACAACTTCCTCTGCATATTTTTCTAAAACTGGGTCAGAGAACTGGATTCACAGGGAATCCTGACAGTTGAAAAGGGATTTTTTAGGAATTTTTAGGAATCATTGAGACCACCCTTCTCATTTTACAGATCAGAAAAGTCATCTAGGGTTTAAATGACTTCCCTAAGGTCATACAGTGAATTGGTGATAGAAGTTGGATTAGAACCCAGATGTCCTGACTCAGTATAGTCTTTTTTTCCCTCATACTTTATCATGTTGTAGAATCAGTGTTATAGCAGAAAAGGTCCTAGGATTGAAACATGAATTAGTCAAAGCTTTTATGTATTGTTCCATTCTTTTCTGAACTTTTTTTTTAAGGGAAGGGTAGTGGGATTTATATTACCCTATCCAGTCACCTTAAAACACTTTTTGGCCCTACTCTGTCTATTGGCTGCTCAGGTCCCTTCTCTTTCATTCATTCTCCAGGACTGGTGTCTCTCCCCTTCACCCCTGTCCCTCCATTCCCATATAGATTCATTATCCGCATCTAAACTTGCTTCTCCTGTTTCCCAGACTATATGACCACAGTTTTATTTTTTGGTTTTTTTTTTTAGGCAATTGGGGTTAAGTGACTTGCCCAGGGTCACACAGCTAGTAAGTGTCAAGTGTTTGGTCTGAGGTCAGATTTGAACTCAGGTCCTCCTGACTTCAGGGCTGGTGCTCTGTCCACTATGCCACCTAGCTGCCCCTAAGATCATAGTTTTAGAACTAGAAGGGAAGTGAGAGGCCATCCAGCGTAGTCTTTTCATTTTGCAGATTAAAAGGAGAAAAATCAAGGCCCAATTTTAAGAGACTTGCCCATTAATCACATAGGTAGTAAGTAGCAGAGTCAAGATTTGAACCCAGATCCTCTTATTCCAAATCTGTTACTCTTTCCTTAGTATCACACTATCTTCAAGGTTCCTGCTCACTTACGTGGGCTATAAATACTTCAGTCTTTTAAAGGTTCTATGACTTCATTCCAGTACTACGCTCACCAGCACAGACTGAATTCTCCATTCTACCTTCCACTAACTCCCCAACCCCAACATAAACCTTAGTATTTTCTATGAGATGTTATGGCCAAAAATTAAAACAATCAAACGCACATAAACCCACTATCATTAGGTGACTATTTTTCCAGTGATAAGGCTTTTGAACTTAATTAGGCAGATCCTTGGAGAGCCTATCCACAGTCTGTCCCACTGCCAACAACCAAAGCTTTTCCACTTTGATAGTACTAGTATCTTCCAAAATAAGTAAAAGTTCAAGGTCTTTTTTGATGCTACCTTCAGACATATTCAAATTGAGTAGAAGAGACCTAGCATTAGGAAATGAATTCAAGATATGGAATTATTAGCTGGCAATGTCTTTTTGCCTTATATCTTTAAGATTTAAAGGAGGAATGGAATGGGAATTTCAGCCATTACTGTGGCCACCCAAGTCTTAGCCCCATTCCTCATCAAGACTTTGGATTCTCTAAGGCAAAGACAGAGGAATACAATTTATGGCAATTCCTGATCCCTTTGCCCAAGCTGGAAAGACCTGGAGTCCAAGCCCCCTAAGAGACAATGTGTCAAATGGAGGAGCTAAGCTAAATTCAAAGAGACACTTCACTAGTTTAACTTCTGTATGAGTCTTTGTTGTATTTTTTTAAGTCCCAGGAACTCCTGAGACTAAGACACATAAAAGGTTGTGATCTGAGCCAGTCAAGGTGTCCTTACTGATGAAGTCCCAGATTGTTGAAGCAAGAAAGATACAGCAAGACTAGTCGAGGAGAATAGAAAGAGAATAGTGGGGAAGTGCTATGGAAGAAGGATCTTTTTATGCTTCTCAAATTATACCACAGCATCAACTGGAAGGGAATAGTGATGATGATGAAGATGATGACAATATGATAAAAGTTAATGTTAGCACTTCATCTATCTCGTTTGACCCTTTGACACAGGTACTCCAGGTATTATGATTCTCATTAAAAAAAAAATCCAACAACCTTGTAAGATAGCTAGCCCATGTACTATTATTGGCATTTCACAGACGAGAAAAGTGAGATAGAGAGAAGTTCAATGACTTGCCCATAGGCACAGAGCAGTCTTAGAGGTGGGATTAGAGCTCAGGTTTCCCCATTCCTAGTCTAGCACTCTATCTTCTATCAATTAATCAACAACAAGCATTTATTAAATGCCTACTATGTGACAGACTGGAGATACAAAGACAAAAAAAAAGAGATTGTCTCTGCCCTCGGGGAATTGTATTCTATCGGGGTGAGACAATGTGTATATACACACACACACACAAAAATGAATAAAGGATATGTTGTTTAAGGGTAGTTCAATAGCCACTGGAGAGAGGTGGATCTATGTCACAATGCCCCTCCCATTTAGATAGTATGTCATACAAGCCTCCCCTTTTGCCAATGGGAAAGCTGAGACAACTTGCCCAACTAGAAGAAACAGCTAGTTAACAGCAGATATGAATTAGAATATGAGTTTCTTTTTTTCTACCTAGTCCGCTGTGTTTTTCACTACCTCCCCTAAGTATATCAAATCAAACTCTCTCTCAGGGTGTTACATTTATTCAGTTCACTACAGTGGCATGTCCAGAACACAGTCTAGTAAGGGACTAGCCACAATCACGGCATCTAGGAAGACTGTCCTAAAGAAGGCACAGTTTTACCAGAAGATATGACTCTTATTACTGCGAGGAAACAGAGTTGGAGGAGGTTTGGGAAGACCTTTATGAAACATCAGATTTTTTGAACAATGGCAGAGGTGCACAGCAGAAAGGGAGCTATAGTAGGAAAGATGGAACATTGAGACATTGAGGGCTTTTTCTGGCCTTATGTAATAATCCTTTTAAAGACATTTGGTGAACATGGATTTTCTGAAGGGAGGCAATATAGTATGTTAAAAGGAGAAGCAAGTTTGGAGACAGGCATCTGGATTCAGATGATAACTGTTAGTTACTTACTGTCTCTATGACTTTGGGCAAGTGACTATCTCACTTGGCCCAAGTTATCTCATTTATAAAATGAGGGAAGTGGACAACATGGTACCTAAAGCGTCTTCCAGCTCCATGTCTATGATCTTAAGTATTTATAACAGCAGTATTTTTCCCCTAATTTGAAGACTATTTAAAGCCAGTAAGTTTTAAAATGTCATTATGAATCATAGTACTAGAAAGGCTGTCGTGTGAAGCTCCCCAAATGCTACTTATATTCATTTATCTTTTCATTCCTTTACTTGGCAGTAGTGTTAATTGAAGATCCACCAAAAATGCTTTCTTACTCATGCTTCTATCATCCAGGGAATTAGAAAATCTGGGATCAGTAGCTGACGTATATAAAAATCTAGAATATTACAACATTAAAAATGATTTCACATTCTGACTTTGGAAAAAAAAAACCTAAGCCCATTGTAAATAGGATTTAGGATAAATAATATTTGCAGGATTTTATGCAGGAATCAGTAATACACACCAGGCTTAAATGAATTTCAGCCTTCCTCGTTCACCTCAGCCTGATAATCTAAATCTGCTTCAGTAAGATTGGCCTAATAAACTGGTAAATTGGTACAATGTATGAAAACTTGGATGGAGGGCAGAGAAGATCAGCCAAGAATGAGTAAATGTTGCTGGCTGTACTAAAACTACAAGAATAGCAACACCTACTTTAATAGTGTTTTTATTTGCATTGCTTTATCATTGAGAAATATCTATAAAGTTCAAAATAATGAAATTAAGATTGAAGAGAAAAGTGTTCTATAATACTGATGAAGAGAACTGGTGATGATTTTCTGGGCCCATTTCACATTTTAAACAATTGAAATAAGAACATATTGAGCATTTAGAGTCTTCCACATTTAAATTATTAACTTGTGGCTGTTTTATGCACTAGATTCTTTTCTAAGCATTATTGCAGGAAACATGAATTTTCCTTTCATTTCACAAATTGTCTGGCAGCCAACAATTTTCATCTGTAAAAAGTCAAAACGGCCCCTAAACTCTACTTCTTATTTAAAAATATTTTAGAACTAATAATTCCTCTAATTCTTGGAAGAGCGATATAACTGATATTCATTCTGAAGCTATGGAAAAACAATTAGCATCTTTAAGCATTATTATTCCACCTCCTACAGAAAAGCATGAAAATGAGGTGAATCAAATTTCATTTTTATTGTTTGAATTTCAACCCCCATATTATGTTAAAAGGTGTTTAATGGTTGAAAGCTTTGACCTTGCCTGGGATATGAGCCAGTTCAATCTTTTCCTGAATAGAGTTAAGTCAGAGTGAGATTTTCAATAAACTCAGCAGCATACCTAATGTAACAGGTTCCCCAACCAGCAGCAGGGATCATGCCAGAGAGTGCAAACCACACAATGCTTGGCAAATGAGCCCTTTAAGTCTTTTCATGTCTCAAATCCTCCTGCCAGTAAAACCTACCATTTCCCCCCTGAACTTTTCCTCATCAGTTAACCAAAGATTCATTTGTTTCTTTTCTCAC